GACTGTGGGACTGCACGAGTTTCTAGGGTGCTGGTCTAGGAAAGCAGACTGAGCAACCTGTGTTTGGGGTGGAAGGGGCATGCATTGGGTCAGGCTTCAGGCAGAAGGGAGAGAATAGGTGTATTTAAAAAAAATCCTGTTGAATGGAGAAGTATCAACCCTGGGTTGTGGTGTCCCAGGGTGAGCTTTCCACTCCCTTCATTCTGTCATAGTCCTGTTGCAGGACACTGTGGGCAGGACAACACATGGCTCTTTTTCTTCTGTGCCTACTTCTTTTCATTTTGGCTATGCATTGACACCTGCGGCCAGGGAGGGAAGTCCAGCAGGTTGAAGTCAGCACTGCTGGGCTCAGCCTTGCAGAGGGGCTGGTGCTTCAGGATGGAGCAGCATGTGCTGGGAGCTAGTGCAGGTGTGGTTCAGGGGTCTGCCCTGCAGGAAGCCGAGGTAGGGAGAGGTGTGGGTTTGCTCTCTGCGGTCTGATCATTGCATATGTACAGCTCTGCTGTTCTTGGGGAAGAGAGGTATACAGCCAGCACTAGATTTCTCTCACTGTTGCAGTGGGTTAAGTTCTCTTATTAGATTACAAGTAGCTGAGGATTTTCTTAGAGAGCAAAGGCAAGTAGGAGGTTGGATTTCTGAAAGCCTTGTTCATCTTTTCATAATCTCATTAATACTTAGTGCATATTTCCTGCTCTGTTTGATAGAAAGTATAAAAAATGATCACAACTTGCTTTGCTGTAGAGCTTATCATTTATCCGTCTAGGAGCAGCAGAAAGCCTTACATTGTCCTCACAGTTTACCTTCCAAGTGGTGATACAGAGAGAGAATCACTTGACCTCTGCTGTCCCTTACCTTGACAATCATTTCAATGCAGTCACCTGTATTTTGGCGACTGGAGATATCTGTTGTCGTGAACTCAGGGCCAGGCAAGTGGTCCCTATGGGGGATCACTGGAAAATAGACATTTGTGTGTGTGTGTCAATAATTGAGAAGCTCATTTTATTCCAGTAAGAATCTTTCAACCACAATCAATTTCACATGCCATCATAAATAATGGAGGTCAGCAGAGCACTGTGAGTGCTTCAGCAAGCTGTGTTGACGATGTTAAAATGCAGTAAACAGCAGAGAGATGCAGCTCTGCATGAGTGAGTATACATTAATACTTGTTTAGGGATTGTTTGATTGGCAGACCTCGTTCTTCCAGGGTTTTTCTGATGAAAAATGCTTCATGTTTCTGTAGCTTTGGTAATTGGAGTGGATTGTCTAATTTCCTGGGCACCCCATGGTACCAGGACAGCTCAGCTCCCAGGGCTGTGCAGAGAAGCAGCAGTGCTGCCATGCGCACTGTGCAGCTGGGGTCTGCTCTCGCTTCCCTGAGGTTAATACTTCATATCTGTGCATATCTCTTTTAAGCCTGTGTGCTTTAACTAGATCAGTGTTCATTCCACAAGTGATCGAACCTGAAGCTACACTAAAAGCCACAGCAGTTAGAGAAGCACACAGAATCACAGCCCCAAATTCCATTCCAGTGCCTGTCACTATCATCTTTCCTTTCACATTCACTTTTAGAAAAGTGGATTTCCTTTCCAGTTTTGCTACCTTTCTCTTCCAAGTGTCAAATCTAATTTGATGTTATTTGAATAACTCATCTGTTATCCCTGTATGAGGGCTTCTGAGCTGTGATCAATTCACCTTTCAGATACTCTCTATCTGCTGAGCAACTTCAGCCTCTCACTGTGCAGTGAGTTTTGTGGATGTGAAATCATTCTTACAGCTGTTCTCTGAACTCCTTTCAGTTTTTAACTAACTGGTAGGAGTTTCTGCATCTGCTCTCCGAAGACTTTCTGTATCCTTGGCCCTACTGACAGCATGTATGCCTGCTGATGTCTCCCCGGAACATGGCAGGCACTGCAAATGCCACAGAGCTCAAAAGTACCACTGCTGAGACCTCCTCCTTATGCTGCTGGTTTGCAGTGCTCCAGAATATAAAGCACAGAAATAATTAAGTAGATTAATTAGCTAATGTTTGTACAAGACCTGGAAAATTTAAAGCACTATATAATTGCTAAGTACAGTAGATTAATTAGTTAATGTTTACACAGAGCTTTGTAAATGTAAAAGTGGCGTAGCAGTGCTAAGTGTTATCATTAATTAATTTTTCACTATTTGTGAGATTCATTACAAGCAACAACAATGTCAAGTGCTCGTGTTCCAGTCTTGCTGAACACACCCATGCCCACATGGGGACTGTGTGGGTGCCACTGCAGAGCTGGGCAGCTTTTTCTGCTCCCCTGTCCTCCAAAATAGCTGCTATTCCCCTCCTTATCCAAGTTTCTTTTAAAGCCTGGCAAGCTTGTGAGCTTGCTACTGCAAAAATGTTTCCAGCAAGAGTGTGGCAACCTCTGTGTTCTCCTGCTAAACAAAAGAGCAGGGAGATACGAAGCCAACACTATTTACTAGCAGATAGAATGATCTCTGTTGTATACATTTATTTGTGTAAATAATGAGAATGGGATTTCCCGTGCTTGTTCAACAAGACAATTCAATTTGAGTTCTGTCTCCCAGACATATGCTCCTGCACTGTTTGTCATGCTCTGGGTCAGTAGGCAGAAGGCACTCTTCTCCCTGAGCTTATGAACTTGCAGGAGGGATGTGGCATTTGTCACTGTCTGCTGGATATCTTCTCACAGGTACTGCAAACCAAATACTTCTCTGCAGAAGCAATTGGGAGAGCATATGTTGATCACACAGAATTTCTAATGGGATGGTGTGAGAGGCTGGCAAGGAGAAATGGTGAAGGTCAGCCTTGGAGCACAGAGCTGGCAGCTGGGCAGTGGCAGAACCTCTGAGGAGCAGCCCCAGATTGCCATGTGAATGCAGGAATACAAAACCAAGGAAGTGGAATTTGTCCTTAAATGAACAAGAAATTTGGAGCCCCTGAGTCTCACCACCCACTCTACTCCATTCCCAGGGTACTCTTGGAATCCTCTCATTTGCCATGCGCTGTGCCAGCCCTTATCTGTAGAACTACGGCTCTCTAAAGAGCAGGAAGGACAGGGACCCTGAGTGTCCTGCTCCAGGCCTGCAGATGGGAGCCTGTCACTCTGGAAGCTGCATGTTGCCATTCATCTGACTTCCTTCCTTCCAGCACTGTGTGCCCAGGCATCGCTGTGCATGTGGCAGCACGCCAACAACCATTCCTGGCTCTCAGTCAGTGATGTGCTAGGGTGATGAATGGCAGAGGGAACAGTGTTACTTTGCTGAGCTTGTGAAGAACATTTCACACCCAGGCAACAGGGAGCGAATCTGTTCTGCTGGGACAGCATCTGACCCCACACCTCTTTCCCTCGCAGGCTGTGCCAGTGCCAATGCATGCAGCCTTGCAGGAGAAGGCACAAGGATGCTCTGCACCCTTGAGAGATCTGTGTCCAATGGGGGCTGGCAGCTCTGGGAGCTAAGGCAGGCAGGCAAGCTGCTGAAAATGACATTGCCTGTGACAAATATATTACTGATTTCTTCATCTGTCATAGAGCAGCGCCTCGACCATCTGCTGTCACTTAGCACTTGGAAATGGGCTTCCCGTTGCCTTTCCCCCACTTCTGTTCATCCTTCTTTTTGCACTTGGTCTTTGAAGAGAGCAGTACATGAAGAGCTGGAGGGAAGAAAAGGGGAAGGAAACATGGTTCCTCCCTGAATGGCAACTAGCACCTCACAGCTGGCATCAGGGTACTCCTCTCTGCAACCTGTGCCCTGCAGAGCTGTGTTGATGTGCTCAGAGGCTCATAACTGACAGACTACAAGGGCAGGGAGCTGAGTTGATCTTATTGTGTGTATTGAGGAAAGAAGGCTTTCTTCAGCTGCTTCTTTATTTGCAAGGAGGGCTGCAGCTTGTGGCAGGTGTGGGCAGGCATCCTTGCCACATGTGCTCTATGTGTGTTTATTGACCCTATGCTTGCATGGAGCATCCACTGCCATCCACTGACACCTTTGTGGAAAAGCCCTTTGAAAAATAGCCAGGAAGGAAAAGCACAGAATAAACCAATTTATCATATTCTTGGTTTATTCCAACAATTTCTTCCACAAGACCCAGTGGCAAACATGTGCAAGAAGCAGCTATACTTCAGCAAGGAGGGGAGAAGGCTGTCGGCGTGGGGAGGACAGGGCAGATGGGCAGTTCAGTTGCATTGAGGAGGTTCTTTAATGCCTGTTTGCCAGGCAAGAGGGAATGGCTTTAAGGAACATCTTTATTAGGGTACACTACTTAGCGTCAAATAAATGTCAGGGCTGCTGTATTCTGAGTCCCTGCCCAAGGCACTGAACCTGCCTGTCATTCAGCAGTCCAAGTACCAACCAGAAAAGCACTGGCAGAGTCCTGGAAAGATTTATTTTTCCACATTTAATTGCCCTTTTTGCTTTGTAAACATAAAGGTTGAAGCTTAAACTCTGACAGCTCCAGTAGCCTTTTTCTTATCTCCTTAAAAAAATGACATTCAGCTTGTTAGATTTTTCTTTTACCGCAGTCCAAAATCTCACAAAATCTGCACAACTTCTTTTTTTTTGGTGTTTTTTTTTTTTTTTTTTTGTTAAGATCATTGAAGCATTTCAGTGCTCACTTTGGGAAATACCCTTCAGCTCACAAAAGCTGGAGCCTGAAGAGCCAAGACCTTTCCCCACAGCAATGCAGGATAAACATGCTCAGCCAAAAGAGGCAGAACAAGCAATCAGCATTCCGCCTTTTCACCGGGAGCAGATTAAAGCACGCTTATCTGCTCCTGTTATTGTTCTAGAAAGAAATGCAAAGGCCAAGGACATGAGAAAAACAGACACTAAAAATCAAAACTGTTTGTACCATAGCAGTCTGAAAACTTCATGAGCCGAGTTCTTTCTCTGCAATGCATCCCTGCAAAGGAGGAAAGCCCTTGCAGGGGCCTGGGCCACCACAGAGCCTTTTATCCGGCTCTCCTCCATCATTTTCTGTGGGTTCCTGTGGGATGCTTCTGACCCTGGAGTTAGCTTATACTGTTAATCATGCTCTCTTGTGTTATCCTGTTAATTCTGCTTTCTTGAAGGCTATGTTGGGTTGTGCCTAAAAGTAGGACTTGATTTCTGTGTTAGAGACTTCACATCATCTTAAAATTCAAGACCGGTGCAAGAGATTCGTAAGTTTGCTGTCAGGATGTTGTAGGTGTGATCCAGCACTAATTATTTTATTGTATGTCCGTGTTGCTGCACTCTCTGTTGTTGTCTCTTAACTCTCTGTTAAGTTTATCTTTATTCATTCATTCTTTATTTTCTTTATCTTCTAATTCATACAAAATTCAATGTTGTGTTATTCAGCTGAGGCTTTCAACAAGTTGTTGAGAGAGGATGACTATGCAGCAGAACAATTTATCATTCTTCTTTCTACAACATCCTCACCCATGGACTTTTTTGTCTCAAGGCCTCATAGTTTTCTAACTACATGTATTTTTTTTTCTTTCTTCATCTGTGTTGGTGGGAAGGTTGCAGAAGTCCCACGTGGGCCTTCCTCTCGTGGCTGATACTGATGGCTTGCTGTGGTTACAGGGAATGCAGTTGGTTTCTTGCTGCTTTGGAAGACTTACTGTCTGCCTCTGAATATGCTATGTCCAAAGAAGGGTCTGATGTCCTTCACTTTATTTTTTTTCAAGCTGTTGAGTAGTTGGTACATGCAAAATCTTTTGATGCTTCTTCATGCCGAGAATTATGGAGTGCAGGTTTGGATGCATACAGAGTGAATGGACATGTTCCCCCTTGTGATTGTGGATTGGGAATTCAGACTGGTTGGTGAAGGGAACACTGTCTCTCACTGCTGTCTAATTTAAAAAGTAGCAGCTCCTTGGGTTCAAATGCATCTGCTGTGTTTACTGCCGTCCAGAGCCTTGCTATCCCAGGAGCATCTGCTCACCCACCAGTCATTAGCAATGTAGATGCTCCAGACAGACTGAGGAACTGACCCAAGATCAGTTCTCTCTGAACAGAGATGTAACTCTGTAATGAATTTTCCACTTCCTTATCAAGCTAAATAGCAAGCACTGAAGCATGACACCAGTTATGGTATCAAGCACACCAGCAAGTTAACTGCACTGACCATGAGCTGTCAATGTCCTTGTTCACAGAACATCCAACACACTTTCCTGTAGTTTAAGCTTTTCTACCCAGTGCATATTTTAATTGCTTTGTGGTTCAGTTCCCATCTCTGTTGTTGGCTTCAGTTTGGTTCTTGCAGACGTATTTGGCTGCTTCCTGGTTTATGCATTTCCCATATCCTTCAACAATGCATATGAATCTAAGCAGAGGTGCACAGGAGCAATTAGAGGACCTTTGTGTAGATGCTTCCCAGTTTTTTCAGTGGACCACATGACTCCCCTCACTAATTAGCTTTGTTTTGGCTGCCTGCTCTTTTTGTATTTCTCCCTCACACTGTCAGATACTTCATTTCTCTCTTGCAAGATGCTCAGCTGATAAGCATCTTCGTTCTTTGCCAGACAGTATGTGTGCTTGTTAGCTGCCAGCCAGCTGATTATGATTAGGCTGTAGTTTTGATAGTTATTTCCTGTCTCTCAAGCCTGAACAGATGGCACGCTCCTCTCAGTGCAAGCTTTGACTTTCATAATACTTCATGGCTTGGCCAAATAGCAGTTGCATAGTCCACACATGAGAAGTTCTCAAGGGGCTCCTTGCAAAGAGAGAGGATCAGCTGTGCCCCCTGAGGATCCTCCCAAGTTACTATCTGCATCGGGAGTGCTGGCATGATCTTGTTCCTTGGATGCTCCTAACTACAGTTTTGTTTCCTAGATTGCAAGTCTGGTCTTGATAGGTGCTTTCAGCATCATGTTTTGGCTTTGCATGCTAGAGGACAATTAGCATTATGTCTGATATGCTAAGAAATGCTATTTTTGTGTTTTATTTTATAGGATCAAAACACGCACTCTGAATGTTTGCAAGATGAGCACAAGACCTTTGTAAGAACCAGACAGGGAGGTCTTTATTATGAAGAGAAGAATCATTTTATGTTTGGTAAGCAAATATGGTGTCTGTCTGTATGGATTTAGCCAAAAGTTGTTTGTGAGCAGAAAGATGCACCTACCTCCAGGTTTAATGGTTTATTCCAAAGAAAAATAACAATAAAGACAATTCTTTTAAAACAGATTATCTGAGAGTACAGATTGTCAAGCTTTATGCTGCTGGATAAATCAAACTAAGTGCTGAGAGTTAATTTGTCTGACCATAAATCGCATTCAGTAAGTGTAAGACAAAACTAATTGGCTTTCTTCCATACAAATTTAATCACACTGTAAAATGTGATCAATGCAAATAAAGAGTAGGTTAAGTGTCAAGAATATAGAAAGAAAAACAATGGCTCATTTCCATTCTTAGAACACCTGAAAATGGGACGGGTTTCCGTCTCTGCCCTTACCATCTCACAGTTCAGCCCTGGTCTGAACTTAGTGAGCGCTGATGTCTGCAGTTTGTCTCTGCTGTTGTGTGTTAGAAATACCTTTTCCCTCAGTCATTGTAGTTGTTTCTGTTGTTTCATAGGTCAAAGCTGTTGGTGGAGTGGTCCAAGCCTCCTGTGGATGAAACACACCCAGCCAAACGCAGGCCAAGTGTCCTTACCTGTGCAGCCCCTCCTGTAGCAAAGGTAGCAGTGCTACAAACACGTGCTCCAAACACGGAACTCCTCACAGAGCTGAGCCCAGCCATGGAGTGTACACAGATCACCAGGACTTCTGCTGGCTGGGCTCTGCTGTGCACCCCATCCCTTCCACTAGGGAGCCATGGCATCCAGTGTCCTCACTTGTGCAAGCCTCCTCTTTATGCTCTCCTAACATTCCTGCTCCCAGAACAGCCCCTGCTGCTGATTTCTCCAGAAGAGCTGGGTTCGTGCCCCATCCAGGCCTGCTTAGGGGGCTGAACCACTGCTGAATTCCCTGACTCCTTTGGTACAGATCTTCAGCTGAGTCTGAGAAGAAGTGCTGAGCCATCTCCTGGGGCTCGCCTGGTGTGCAGTCTTCGTGTTGAGCCTCTTCAGTGGATGTGCAATTGCCAAGGCAGCCATCTGGTGAGGTGAAAAGAAGCTGCCAGGACAAGAGCTGCAGCTCTGCCACACATCACAACAGAGGTTCAAGGCAAACTGGATGCATGCAGCCAAACTGAATCCTTTAAAATTAATCTGTTGAAAGACCTGCAGTGAGAGGCTGACAGGCAGTAGTTATGGTGATGGCTGAAGTGTGGTTGAGGGTGCTGCAATTGCTGCTCATGCAGAGAGCAGATAAATCCCTCAGATGTGCAGGTTGCCAAGAACTGACATCTTTTGTAAACAGCATCTCTCAGTTTTGCCCCAGAGATGTCCAGCTTGGGCATGACATGGAAGAAAGCTGAGAGAAGAGATGGGGAGAGAGGGAAAAGAAAGCAGCAGCATAAAACATCTGTGAAACTGAAGAAAGCAGCTTCTAGTGTGGATGGGTTCCTGTGCAAACTGTCAGAGCTGAAGTGGGAGAGAAAACCTCCAAAGCTAGAGGTAAGGGTAAAGAGATGTTGCATCACTTCTCCTAGTCTAGGCTTATTTGCTGGGCTTCTTGCAGTTTCAGAGGACATGCTTAAGTGGGTAGGAATTGCTGCCAGTCTGCACACAGCCTGCTCTCTACCTTGGCCTCTTAGTCAGGAGTGTTAGAGCAATCTGCAGGAAGATGGAGGTGATGAATGGCACAGCAAGTTCCAGCGGTGCAGAGAGGTGGAGGCAGATTTTGTTACTCAGGACCCTTGGTCCTGCCCCAGAGATGATGTTTATATTGGCAGGATCCTTGAAAAAAGGGCTTGGCTTGGCTTGCATTTAGCTTCCAGTTCCTTGGTGTGGCATGCTCATGGAGGCCTCCAAGATCCCAGGAGAGGTGGGAAAAGTGGGGGGCAGGCATGATGGTGACAGCAGCCAAGGACTGACTTCCCACAGAGGAATCCCTCTGGGAGTGCAGAGGTGCCCTATAGTGTCACATTCAGCACCCTTAGCTCAGGGCTGGCAGTGCCACTGTTTTTCTGTTGCTGTCCTGAACGGCAGCTGCTGCTCTTTATTTCAAGGAGGAAAAAGAGTGAGAGACCCTCACTGCCCCAGGGAACCTGGCAGACCTGCTTCCCCTTACCTCTGTCCTCCCTCCTCCTAAAATTTTGGAATTAAGTTCTAGTATCTCATAAAACATCACGCTTATATCATAACTTCAGTGTGCAGAGAGCCCATGCAGGGGCCGGGATGCATACAAATTGCTGCTCTAAATCTCCAGCTACAATAAGGAAACGTCAGATGGTGGCAGTTTACTTGATAAATACCTAATATAGCTTAAATAATTATTTAATGCAGACAAATGGAAAAAGAGAGCATCTATGTGCTGTGTTATAATAAACTACAGCTCGTGACTTGTTGAGCGGTGAGAGCAGCAGCTCCAGCTCTACCACGGCCAGGGCAGGAGGACTCAGGCTGAGTATTGGCTGTGGGAAGGTCCTGCCAGGAGCTAACAGGTGTTTAGTGGCAGACTGATGAGAGATGAGAACCCTCAGGGAGCACAATTAATGCAGTGCTGATGACCTAGGTGGAGTGATGAGTGTTTCGTCCCGCCACGTTCCCCACACTGACTGTAGGGCTGAGTGTTGACTGTAGGGGCGAGTGCAGCCCAAGCTGGGCTGTGCTTCCAGCAGTGCCATCCAGTGGGGTGAGGAGGGGCTGTCTGTGCTTTGCTGTTCCTGTTGCTGGTTGGACAGCTGCATCTCTGCACTGCTGTGTCACACCACAGCATCTCTCAGCCCCAACAGCACTGCAGCAGTGTGTGAGTGTGGCTGTGCAGGTGAGCATTTGACCCAGCTGTACGCACTGAGGTTTGGTGGTGACCGGTAGCCCAAAAGGAAGCATCACGCAGCGGTGTGAGGCAGGTTGCTCTGTCAGCTTAGCAAACTCCCAGGGCCAAGGGTGTTGCACTGCCAGCAGGAACGTCTTGTGGAGCTGCTTTACACCACACTGCCAGCAGAATTTTGTGGGTTTTGTGAGTGCAGCTCACGGTCTTTACCTCCTTTCAGCTCCATGGTCGATGACTGTTGATGGGTTTTTGCTTTATATGCTCAGTGGTATTTCATGAAGCGCGCTGGTCTCCTCCACGAGCTCTCCGACAGATTACAAGGACTGCACTTGACTGAGCTCCTGGTGTTCTGCTGTGTCTGCTGTACAGAGACAGAGCTGTGGCACACGCCTTTGCATGGCAGGGGATAAACACAGCAGCAGAGATGGAAGATAAGTGGCAATAAAAAGTACAGTGTGGAGCGCCTGCCCTTTAAAATATATTAGATAGTTTACAAATAAAGCTGTGTATTTTTAGGATCTATCTAGAATTGTTTGGCCTGTAGACCTTGAGGAATCTGACCTTGAAGGGAAAAAGTAAAGCTGTAGCCAGCCTTCAAAATGATCTGGAAGCAGATGAGGACAAGGATTCTTGCTTATTATTTCAGCAATAATGGTGTGCAGAAATGCCAAGTGTTTGGTGAGGTTTGCAAGCAGGGCTCCTTCCTTCCTTCCTTCCACAACCATCCTGGTGGAGCAGTAAGGAGGAGGGGGCCTGAGCTGCAGCTTACTTTCCCTCAAGTGAACCTGGTGGAGATGGCTGTGAAGTGACTGTAGGAATTGGTGCTGTAATCCTCTCATTTTAAATTTGTTCTTAGAGAAAACACAGATGATTCTCTGCATGGAGAATCCCCTGCACGTGCTGGGGCCAGGCTGCTGATTCAGGGAGCCAGAGCCTCCACGTGCTTTGTGCTCTGGCAGAGAAAATGTAAACACATCTCTGGTTTTATGTCTGACCGAGGAGATGTAAATCAAGTGTGTGCTGAAGCCTTTTAAATGTTTTGACATTTTCCAATCCATCAAGGCCTTTAATTGTATTTTGAGTGAGTTGTTGTATATGTAAATACCCGTTAATGTTGAAATTGTTTATAGCCAAATTGTCTGTTTATGCAAATCGTGTTCCGAGATCACAGAGTTTCTATTGCGGAATAAAAGTCTCTTTTATTTAATGCTAGGAATGTTTCCTGTGGCTGCTCTGGCTTTCACAGATGATGTAGCTCTGCTGTGCTGTCAGAGTAGGGCCCAGTGCTCAGCAAAGGGATGTGAGGAGAGAAGCAGAACCAACCTGTGGAGCTCATCTCCTGTGGCTGTGTCAGTGCTCTGCTTCTGCCTTCCTGTGGGCTTTGGGACTTTCCTTGGGCTTTGGGAAACCTGATGGCTGACTCCTGTCTGCTCCAGGGATTTCTCTATCTGCCTTACGTGTTAATTCAAGATTCTGGTGCAGATGGCAACAGGCATTAAAAACTGCTGGGTGAAAAACAGAGAAATCAACATGCTGCTCCTGTTACGCTGTGCCTAAGTGGTAATCGAGATCATCACCTGTAGATAAATCTCTTCCTGCCATCCTGCAGAAGAGGAGCAGTTACTATAGGCTCTGCCTCCAAGTTTTTAGTCATTGGGGAGCACATGCAAATTAATGACTCGATCATGATAAGAATCAATAGCTCTGGAGTGTTTGCAAGCTGCACTGCAGATACGAGATGTGTCTGATATTCAGTGTGGGGGCAGAGTTCATGTTGGATGCAGGCATCTGCTGGGCTGCGTGGGTCCTCTCGTTGTCTCCAGCTGCCCCTGAGGAGGGCTGTGTGCCCCAGGACCACACTTCTGCTCTGGCTTTTTCAGTCAGACAGCACTGTTGATTGTGCTTTTGTGTTTGCTTAATGTCAGTGTCCCTTGGGGAATACCGTAGAGTAATAGCAAGTTGCACAGCCTGGAGTTTGGCTCCTGTATTATTTCTTCATTAATATTTGTTGTTCATAAATATATATTCACTCCTATTTATCAAAAGAACACCAATTACCAGCCATAAATTCTAACTGTGGGGAATATTTCAGTCCGGTTTTATTAAGAAGTGATTTTTAAAAATGTTGCTGAGGCTTTTAGCCAGTTATGTGCTACTAAATATTTAAATCTGTATCTCTTGCTGCACACTGAATTACAGCAGGGGGATATTTAATGCTCCCATTTCCCCGGCATAAATCTGCAAAAGATTGACTGGAAGAAAAGCACAGTGCTGAGCAGCCCGTGGAGACGTGGAGCACTCACTGGTGCCCAGCCCAATGGGTGCAGTGCTCTGGGGTCCCTTTGGCCGAGGCTGCTGTGCAGAGCAGCTCGCAGTGGTGCTGGGCTGCTGTCAGCAATGGGTGCCTGGAGGCCCGTTACACACCAGTGAGATGGTGGTTTTACTGTTTGACCACGAGGCTGGTTTACGACATGAAAAGCTTTCAGCACTTAAATAGTACTAATAGGAACCATTCCCGCATGGGCTCTAACAATCTCCCCCGTTAAAAGTGTGATTAAGAAACTAATTCATCTGGAATAGATTGGCATGCAGTGGTAAACACTGAGATCACAAGTTTTTTATTTTTATTTTTTAATTTATTAAGGCTGCGTGGTGAGAGGAAGTGTGGAGCCTGAGGTACACGCAGGCTTCCTGCTGCTGGGACACAGGCTCGGCTCACTGCAGGCCCCACATCGTGCTGGTCAGTCTTGAGAGGTTTGAGGAAACTGGAAATGGAGGAGGAGGGGGAGGAATGCAGAGTGTGCTCTTGGTGGAGGGGAACACTCAGCAGTGCTCTCACATCGCTGCTGCTGGGCACAGGACCAGGGCTGCCTGGGTCAATCCTGTATGTGTTGCAGCATCCTTGCTGCCAGCACAGCCTGACAGCTCCCAGCCCTGCAGCCCTTTGGGCAGCCACTGTGGAGCCCAGCAAGCCCAGAGCAGGACTCAGAATTGCTCAGCACAATGCATGTTACAATTAAATTTTGACAGACGTGGTCACAGCTTTGATGTCCATCAACAATTGCTGGCAGGTGACTCTAAAGAGCTGTTATTTGCTTCTGAAAAGCAATCAAAGACTTTCCCTTCATCAGACTCTTTGGGAGCGAGCAGAGTGGGTAGTGCCAGCAATCCCCATCCGTCCTTCTTTCCCTATCCTCTTCTCTCTCTCATTCTTTTGCTCTCCTACTTTGAGCCCTGGTGGTTCAGGGTCTGTGGTGGTCCTTGACAGCCAACCTGCCTGTGGCAGCATCCCACATCCTGCTCTGCCACTTATGTCCCTAACCTCTTCAGCAGGTCCCATGTGGTGGAGTTGCAGACACTAATAACAATGGGTGCAGGACAGTTCTGCGTGCTGCTGTGGTAGATGCACACTGACAGCAAGTTTTTCAGGCAGGGAGAAGTGTCTTATGATTTCATCTCCTTCAAAATCCCAAAACCAGAACGAAAGGAAAAACAGCTGTGTGTCTTCCTGGCTGCATGCAGCCAGTGCCAGCAGTAGGGGCTGCCTGCAGTAGGGGCTGCCCAGGGGAAGGGGCTCTTTGCTCTGTGCACACCACGCAGTGTCGTCTTGGCCTCTTCTGACCACTCCAGAGCGGGCAGAACAAGCTGAGGCAGGAGGGAGCAGCCTGCAAACTGGAGCTGCAGAGCTGTTGGAGACAATGGAGGGCAGGGAGGCTGCTCTGTGCTTTGAGGGATCGCTGTTCCGAGTGCAGGCAGGAGCACACGCTGTGCTTGCGTACAGGCACAGAGAATATTCATATTGTGATTTATCCCATTCTTTTTCTCCATTGATTTTAATTAAGTTCACTCTCTCCTGCCAAGCATGGGGAATACAAGCAAAAATTAAAAATACTGAAAGTTCGTTTGCTTTGCACTGGAGTTTTCCCACCCTTTCAGAGAGGGAAAGGGGGCCCACACCACCACAATGCATTTCCCGTGCTCTGCTGGTCCCCAAATAATAAACATAAAATTAAAATCCTGTTAGGAGAATCACAAAAGCTATTATAGCTCAGCAGCTGATATTGACTCTGATCAAATCTTTTGTGTGATTTCACGGCTTTCTGGGCTGCTCACCATGCACACTCTGATCATGTTAGCTCTGGTTTGGTTGTGTTTTTTTTTTCTCTCCCCTGCTGAAGAAAAGCTAAAAGAATGGCAAGAAAAAGCAATATCTAATCCTGTGATATAAGTTTGTGTCACACTTTTATTCTTGCAAAAGATACTTGGATAGACTGTACCAGAAATGAGATGACTGTACTCCAGGCCCACATCTCCTGTGCATGTAGCCAGACATTGCACAGCTATGAACACAGGAAGCAAAAGCATGGGATTTTTTTGCATGTATCTATTAACCATCATAGATGAGCAGAAACAGTCCTGCACAGCAACCTGACTTCAATTAGAAACTGGCTGATAGCCTGTGTTCTGTGGGTATCCATCGTCATCCTATTTTTCAACAGACTCATTTTTCATATCATATAGGGTGAGAAGCAGATAAAGAAACCTCTTACTCAACTCTGATTTTAATTAATATAGTCATCAAATTGGCTATGAAAAATTATGAAACCTCAGCGAAAATTCTGGAGGGTTATAAAATGGGACAATTTAATGTTTGCCGATCTGTGCTTTCCTCCAGTCCCAGGCAGTCAGTCATGGTGACTTGGTTTCTGAGAGATGTCTGGAAATACTCACTGCAATCTCTTTACAGAGCTTAATGACCTCGGGTCATTTGGTGTTTGAAATATTTCTACTAGAGAATAAAAATGGAAAGTTTGTTAGTTGCCCTGCAGGAGGTCATATCCATCCACCTTTGGCTGAAGTTCTGTACAGCCATCACTGGCTGCAACACTTCCCCAAATGAGGGGGCTTGGCTGCCTCTGTCGCACATCAAGGTTCTGCCCTGGGAAGCAACAGCTGGGGGCCGCTTCCATGGCCCAATGTCCAGGCTGGAAGCAGCCTTTCCTCTGCAGAGCCAAAGTGCTGGAGGGCAGTGCACAGGAGCTGCACTGCTGCAGCGCTGCAGAGAAGGCAGGAGGGCTAGGAGACTTTCAGATGAGTGTTTGCTAAATGAAAATGCATGTGTGAAATGCAGATATGTGTGTTAAATGTATCACAGCCCTCTCAGCAGCGTGAGTGCCTGGAGCCTGTTTGTTTAACAGCCGTGGTTTCAGTTGCTAACTGTTGAGCTCTGCTAATCCCAGAGGTAGCTGTTGTGGAGACAGTTTGCCCCCCTAACCAGAGGTGATTGGACTTAAAGCTGCCAGGAGAGGAAACCTGCGTGGAGGTTTGCTGGTTTTGATCCTTTCTTTAGTGATGGCCTGCTGGAGGAATTGGCCTTGTGGCCTTTGCACTGGCTGCTCTTTGCTGCGTTTCATGTTTGGAACTGGCTGTAAGAGAGGACATCAAAACCAGGGCTGAGCGCAGATAGCCCAGCTCCTGCTGGAGCGTGTTGCTCTCATTGGCTGTGGGGCTGGTGATGGGATCACATCTTCAGGGAACAGGGATGGAGTCAATCGCATGGAGGAGGAGTCCTTGGGCTGTGACATCCCACTGAACCCATGTGCTGGCAGCTCCACATGCTGCCTGACCCCATCTGGCTGCAGGGCCCACAGTGGCATCCACAGCTCAGAAGTGGTGCAGTGAGCACAGCCTTCCGTGGGGCAAACTATTATTTATGTTTTTAGATACTGCTAACTCATAGATAATTAATGTCAGAAAGCTGCCATGGTGCCTTTGCTAATAGCTCAGCAAAAGGAGACACACTGGTCAATTAGCAGCTATGTGATCTGACAGTACCAGCAAAGGGCAGATCAAGCTGCCAGCCCCCTTGGCTAATATCATTAAATTTAGAGAGTTGTCAAAGCCACTCGTAGGGTACTGGTGGGAACCATCAGAGAAGGGAACGGACCCAGCAGACAAAACCCAGCACTTACTTCTACATGTTTGCAGGCTGGGCACTGCCTGGACCAGGTGTTGGGATGTGCAGGGATGTGCAGGGATGTGCAGGCTGCCATCCTGCTGTCCTGATGTTTAGATGGGTGCAGCTGCAGTACCCGACTGCCCTTTCCTGGGAACTGAGCTGTATTACCCCAGAGAAGCCCATGTTATAGCTTCTGCAATATTGGAGAAGCATTAAATTAGAAAGAGACCTCTGAGCAAAGGAGAAGTAATATCTGCATATGTGAAGGCCTCCAGCTGTCGGCACAGCAATATT